TATATATATGAGGGTGAATGACAAAATGTTTTGGTTGGTTTAACTGGGTTCTTCTGGGCTCAGGTAGAGGTCTGAACCTGGCCATCACAGCCACAACCAAGCTTAGAGGTTAGGCAACCTCGCTGTTGTACGGCAGAATGTCACATGCACCATGAAGGACCTTTACAAAATTGATTAGAATGCTTAAGTGAAAGATTTCTACAGTTGACAGAAACATTTTCAAAGAAAAAAAACGATAGCGTAATACTGCACAATACTGTAACACTGCACGACTGATGCCCGGATATTTTCAAAACATGGTGCACACTGCTGAAAGCACAATAGTTATACTGACCTTCGACATGGCAGCAAAGTATATTTAAATCAAACGGGCAAACATAAAATCTAAAAAGGGTAAAAGGAAGGCGATGTCATTATCTAACAAAATTATTTCTGTTGACACAGAAGCGGGGAAGGGGTTCCAGCGGTTGATAACAATCGCTTCAAGAAACCTTATCAAACTTCCCGTTCTTGATCTGCTTATCAAGAGACTTTCATGGCCCAGTTCCGAGACAAACAAGCGGCTTTAATGCGAAGCATCTAAATAACCAGGCAGGAATGGTACAGTTAGGGGGGAGGGACAACCTCTGTCGGGACTGTAAAACAATGGGCGTATGACGAGCATGGAACAATGGCGTTCCGTGACACATGGGGAGAACAACTCAAATGAAATAAGAACAGATATCAGAAAACTAAGCTAGACTGATAACCAGGACTGAGGTAAATTGCTGATCATGTTTCTTACCGGATACTCGTCCGACCTCATCACCGGAGGCTCCAGTCGGATTTAACTGCACAACAGATTCAGGGCTATCGTNCGCGGACTTTATCGAGCCGGAACCTGTCGAGCCGGTTCGGCTTCGATTGCTTTCTTCATCCGTTAAGTTCGTATGATCATGATGATTATTTGTCCCATTTACTTCTGCATTCGATCGCTTGGTTGGAGAGACAGGGATAGCAGCTGGAGCTGTTCTGTTTAACACGGAAGTGCCTGAACCCGTGCTTGTGGGTGGTGCGAAAAACGTATCACGCGGTTCCAAAATATCGCGATATTTTGAGACCATGAGTACAGAGAGAAAATAGGCCGCTGAGAGAGCCAAAAATTCGGGGACACGAGGAATTTCCTGAATCGGAGATGAAAAGTTGGTAAATGTGGGGCGATCCAAAAGTGGCCAAAAGCGGTGAAAGACGTATGCTCATAACTGAGAGAAGGCAAAATTTTCGGAACAAATTATAAAAATTCGACAGGTAAGGGGAAGGTGCATATGATTAGAATTGCACAACACATCAGGTGATAAAAATGGGGCTCTCCGGACTTCTGCACCCTCAAACGACGTACACATTTTCCAATTTACGTTCGACAATACCCGAGAACATAACCATAGCGCACATCAAGTATACCTTTTATTACAAATAGAAGCTTCAGTCACCAGGATTGAAAGTTCAATTATGAAGACCGGGAATCTAAACCCTAAGAGTTGAAAGCCCTATAGGATATGCGAAATTAACGCAGACGAAAGATAAGTTAGTTTCAAACAACATACTCTATTTCCTCCTTTCTTAAGATGATAAATTTTGTGCTCAGTGAAAACGACACAAACCACCATCATAGTAATCAATAGAGCGAGATTTCGGATCATTACTCCAGCGTTAGACAACAAAAAATAACTTAAGTCCCGATACTTTGCTGCCCAAATAATGGCGTTTTCAAATGTATAGATCATAGTCGCATATTGGTGACCTGCGGAGATGCGGAACAGGATACGCCCAAAAATGACGAGCATTCACAATGAGCACAGTATGCAAAACCACCACGATCGAGTAAATGTGAACGAGTTCAACTGCCAATATGGATGAGATCACCTCAAACGGTCAGAAGAAAACAACTACAGTCGCGGACAAAATGTGAATGCGAAATTCCGCGAAGTACGTACCTCGCTTTTGAAAATCACTCCCTGTAATCGATTCAAATCGCGCACTTGCAACAAAGAGTGCGGATTCTCTCGTGGCTGAATGACGCTACGAACAAACGTATTGTCCTGATCCCGTATTCGAGGTCGGAGTGATTTGTGATGTGAAATGGAAGCGAATGAACAGAAAATAACACGAGACAGAGAACATCATTAATGATTATTATGAAATTCATGCTACAAAATTTACGGAAAGTGAGAAAGAAGGTAAAAAGTATGTATGATGAGAATATCTGCGAGACCAATGACACCTTACATATGAAACGCTTGGGTAGTAGATATATATATATATATATATATATATATATATGCTGTGCGTGGATTTCTCATTTGGAACCATTGAAAAGACTTGGCAGTAAGTAGTAGAAGCAGCAGAAGCAGTGCTAGCAAATGTTCACTAAAGGAACACATGGATATCCAAACTCGGAGCAAGATGATGCGCTGGTAAAACTCAGTAGGCTTGACGACAGTGGCGGATGAGAGTCAGAGTCTGCAGTGTTGACGTTAAGTAAGCTGCTAACGGACATTTAAGATAGACGAAGTACCCAGGTATCCTCGAAGTAACAATCCCGGTTCAAATTTCAATGGGTTCGGTAGATGTGCACTCCCGATGATCCACAGGTACATAGTTTCTCATGCTTAACAGTGATGAGTCGAAAGTGAACTCTGTGTGGGGAACTTAACATTAATTAGAAGAGAAATCGTATGTCCTCTTTTGCACCGATGACCAAGCACATTACCGTTCGCTCAATACAGCGAAACAATCACCGAGTCGAAGGCCTTTCGCGGCAGATCTCTAGACTCGGTCAAGCTCACCCGTTGTATCTCCGCCTCACTCACTGCCTAGTAGGCCAGACTTATGAGTTGAAGGCTCCGGTTAGGGGTTGCACTGAAAAATACCTGTTAGCCCGTATGAGCCACCAGGAAGTGTCGAGTCCTAAGGCCTCTTATCTAATAATACAACTAGTGAGAAAAATTATATTGGGGCTGTTTTTCTCATTTGAGCATTCGTCTTTTGGGGCACTAATACAAACGATTCACTTGACTAGATCGTGTGAAACTATCTTCAAATGGCATGCGGTAAGAATGATCGTTGACCAGGCTGCTGATGCATTTCCCTTAGGGGTGGATTGCGGTGATCCTTCCTCTGTGACTATTGCAGAGTCCGCATCGGAAGTATTATGGAATGCTTGCGTTACAATTGCTTAAGCAATGCACAGGGTGATAAGCTGGAGTTGGTTTGTTGGCAAGTAGAGCATGTGATAAACTACAAGGAACGCTTGATTAAGATCATCAGCTGTATCCCGCATCTTCCGTATTTGTTGGTTGACCGTGGCTTAATCGGCGGCCGTTCGTGGGGATGCTCACATGAGCCTGTTGACGGCCGTCTCATGGTAAGGACCAGCAAGTATAACGAATTTGATGCTAATTCACAACACAGAATACATCTTTTATTTGGATTTGGGGTGAAAACTCTAACCAAAAATACAGCGAGGGTGTTACGACACTGCAGTCTTTTCGGAGCAATGCTCGACTCGACATCTGGTCAAGGGTTTCTACATTTGAATTCGCTCTACTCTTTTTATCCCCATCGCTGCGACTTATCCTACCCTAGCACTTCTCTGATGCAGCCCAGTTCACAAATCCTTTGTGCGACAACTGAGCACTCAACGAAATATAACTGCAGTAACGATCCATCGGACTAACGTGCACAAAACAAGTTGTATGTTGTCCCTTATAAGGAATATGTGAACACACTGACTAGTGTTATTTACAGCCCCAACCCCAACTCGAAAAAGTCTCTTGACCACCTACACCAGGGTCCTGTTCATCGCAGATTAATGTTACGGTCGATGTATAGCAAACAACGTAGTGAAAAGAAGGTATCTGTTCTCACACACACTCAAGTCAGCTGACTGACGCTGTTCACTCCCGTACATGTAACATGGGATTATACGCTCATTGTCTGTAAGCACGAATAATGCACATGGAGTGGGGTAAAAACAACACATCCACATGTAAAGATAACCACGCGCGTTATCAACACATTAAACTGTATAGCTGTGCTCATACAACAGAGCTGGCACACACACACAAGATGGCGTAGTTTCACTTACTCGCGCCGACGGATAATCCAGTGTGGGTCGAAGTGCGTATAATAGCCGTTGGATGTCGTTAGGCAAATGCGAGATCCGGACCTCATATTGCTGCTTCCATTCCCACAACTGATAGAGTTGTTCACCAGACAGGAATCGGACGACACGCCACGGCAGTGGGCACAGTCCAAGACGAGGACCGGGCAATGCAACAGACCGGTCCGAATCGGATCCAGTCAACACAGTCAAACAGAGCAGACGTTGTGCTAACAGTTCCGATTCGGCTCGGGATGCGGCACTGGCAAGACTGCGAATCGCTACTGGAGTACTGGTAGATGAACCGGTGTTCGACTGACCGGGCTGATTGGTCAATGTGATATCGATTTCTTTGGCCTGTACATTGGTGGAATCCGTGTTCAATCCATGTTCCGGTTGAGCTGCATGTTGAATTTGACTAACCTCGGATGAGCGCGTTGGACAAGTGACAAAACGCACTCCGTCGTTCAGATCAGTGCACATTTTTAATTGGTTAACTAACTGTGTGGTTGGCAGTAGGACAGCAAATCGGGATTCCAGTGTGTTGCGAACAGCAGTGGTCAAATCTGATGAATAAACAAGTTTTGAGGAAGTTAATGAGCGGGAGATCAGAGAAAAGACACGAATGATTTATGAAAAAAAAATGATATAATTCTATTGAGGACATGTGGAGGGACTCATTACATCGTACAGGTTTTCAAGTCAAATAAACTTTTACGTTCATGGCCCAATGAATGAACGTCACCTCGTGGGGAATTATTGATCGCCCAAGGAGTGAAACTCACACCCAAGAACATCAAGAGTGCCTGGTGCCTCTGAAAAAAATCGAATGGGCTAATCCAAGCTTGATACTCTGAATATGTTTCTGTTTTACTAGTTCAATCATTTGGTTGATTCATCAATTGATGCTTTTCGTTAGACCCTGATCAACATATACACAGGAAGGGAAAAAGCACCAACGAAACGAAGGTATCAGACGCCTGAACCAAGACAGGTACAAGATAGAAAATCAACACCCAAGGGGGGCTTCCATGCTGGTAGCAGTAAATTTGTTCAAAAGCCCTGAAAGCCAAGGATTCGTATTTGGAATAAACAACCGAACTAAATTGTGACGAACAGGTGATCGTTCTACTCAGTGACAGACCGATAGCTTGAAGAAACTAGGTGCATCGGACAGTATAGAACTTGAAATAAATAACGCAAGAGCAAATTCGATTTGGATTGTTATAATCTTACTTCATGGATTTTGTCTAGTGACCAACAGAACACATGAAACTTGGGTTCCGCCGGATAACCTCGATGGTTGTTCTCAACCTGATCACCCCACGACCTAGCACTATTTTGATTTGGTCATTTGACGATGGCTATCATCTTTAAAGCCAAACGATGACCCTCAAAGTATAGTTTCGGTAGAGGGTCGTCTACCAGGACTGCAACAGAGCACTGAAACTGTTGAGTCGTGGGGGGGGGGAGGTAGACGAAATCGAAAGATCTGGATTCAACAGACGGAACCAGCATAAGGAATGACCATACTCACGGTTAAGAAGACGAATTCAAATTCAAATTCAAATTTTTATTATGGGATATAACTTACAAAGACTTCGCTTTTA